TTGAGGATCTCTCAACGTGCCGTTGCGAACTGCGCAACGCAGGGTTGACTCTGGTTAGAACACAACCACGAGAGTACACCTTCGCTCTCCCTGGGTGTGATTCCCTAGAATAGAAAGCGACTTTTCGGTTGTCACAGAGCAGAACTTTTTTCGCTGCGAGAAGCCCAGATCCACCTCTGGTCTGTGTGGACCTGCGCTTTCCACCGCGAAAAATGTTTCACGGTGCGGAAAAGGAAACAGTCGCTTTCCGTCTTAGTGGACCACATTCTTCACACCTTGGCGCAGAACTGCCTGGATTTGCTGTGAACCACGCTCTAAACAGAGCAATTTGTGGCGAATTTGCGGGGTCTCTCTAGTGGAATAAGTGACCACATTGGGTACATGTAACAAGTGCACAAAAGAAAGATGTACAAAGATTTCCTGAAAACGATATCATCAGCGTTGATAGGAGAGTCATAGTCAGGCGTTGACGTTGCAAACCGTCGCTCAAAATGGCAGTCTTTTGCAACATGTAAGCTCGTTGAATTTTATCTGCATATAATGATCCACATAGTCTTGTGGAAATATTTACAGTACGCAAAAATGGAAATGTAAGGAACGATAAAGGAGCTGTTACCAGTGTCAAGGATCAAACCTGGATGGTACGCCGCCCAAGCCAACCGGCTCCATACAGAAGCATGTTGGCGGCGCCGACGCGCTCGCGTCTTGGTGACGTCATTTCGGCCTCAGAGCAGCCGCGAGGGAACGAACAAGGGGCGGCGGTGCCGTCAACACTTCGATACATTATGTACTGGTAGTGTTGTACTTTAACTTCACTGTGTAGCATGTACTGGCGTAGGCATGAACCGAAGTCGAAGAATGGGTACATGGGAATCAACTTCAGCTTGATTGTGCACACCTAGTGCAACCACCACTACCTACAAATGAAAATTTTGACTTTGTTCATCCCATTACGGATCATTTACTGCAATTACAGTATTACACAGTCAAGAATTCCCAATCTTCAGTGCGAGGATGGCATTTTTACGTACTACAATCATTCTCTCCGCACTATTGATTGCATAGGTAGTAAAGTGCCAGCAAGCTCAACACTGTTCGAGTGAAGTGTCAGTGGTGCTGGTCCGTTTTCCATGCTCTTGCCGCAGCTGTGACGTCACCAGCACGCGCTCGCGTCCGCGCAGCCGGTGAGCTTTTCTCTCCACCGAAACTAAGCAGACCCATCTCTCAGATGTCGTTTGCTTGTTTCAGACTTGTCTGGGAGGATAAAAACACTGACTTGTACATCGGCTGGCCCCCGCAAGTCATTGTATAGGCCACATCGCATTCAAATGCCACTGCGAATGTACAAATGGAAGTAGAATGCGTGCCGCATCCCAAAAGAATTAATCATTACCGATTGCTCTATACATTAATTCTTTTATCCATTTCATAGCGGTACAGTACTGATCCACGAGAATGGGGGTTAATTCCTTTAAGCACACTGCTGAGAAGTACCCTCTATTTCGGAAAACTAGAAGAGCGTCGAGTACAGACCACACACCACAAGTGACGACAGAAAGGATAAGCCATTTTTCTTGGCCGTCGTCACTTGTGGTGTGTGGTCTGCACTCGACGCTCTTCTCGCTTTTCGGAACTGAAGGTACACAGCGTGTTTGCTGGCGTCTATTATACGGCATTTGTATAATATTTGCGCCACATAGCCCTGAATTCGGAAGGGGGACCGTAATTCATTTGGGGCCCTCATTACCATTGTTCAAATTCTTGTTGCGATGCTGTTCTATGATGCTATAACCGCGACACTGACGTCATCTTCGCTTGCCTAGTACTGATCAATCACCGATTGTTTGCACTATTCGTTACAGGCGAACACGGGGAAAGCTGCCATCAAAGAACTCTGCAAGGGAGAGCCCATAGATATTTCAGCCTAGCCTAAAAATCATATATACATATATAAACCTATAAGTCCGGAGAAATTCATGATGACATTAAAGAAATAAAATGAAAACTGCTTGATTTTGGGGCATAAAAAAACTTCAGGAGGATCGCAGTCTTAGCGAGCTGGACCAGAAGCTTCTGTACCCATAACTAAACACTTCTTTATAATTGAAGGTTTTTCTGCCAGTCCCTCGATTTCCATTCGACATCGTCGGCAGCCATCGACACGGTAGGTCAAAAGCGGATCTCGGATATCTGATCAATGGTGAT